TCAGATATGCCATGTAGGAAATCTGCCATACACCTACACATTCTTACCAGCCAACATCGACACATCCACAGGGGCTTTCAGCTGGCAGGGGGATCAGATGGGCTTTTCTGGAAATGTACATCCTTGTCAAGATGACCTTTAAAGGAGATGGACTTATAAGCCCTTAATAGCAGGGTATTCTCAGTTATAGAGGATATTTTGGAAAGAGAAAATGGGATTCTGAGAGGAAAGCATATGAATTTATGAGAGAACAAAGTTTCTATTAGTTTGAAATAAAAGGAAAACATAGAGACAGATAAATATAAGAGAAAATATTATTAATATTAGAGGAAATAAAAAAGGAATGAATGATCCCCAAAGCTTCTGATGATTCTTCAGTTGTCCAAATTTTTTGTACTTTACCTGAACCATCTAGACTTCTACACTGATTTTCTATATTACATCTGTATGAGCTCATGCTATAAGAAACAGAAGTACTTGAAAGAAAATGAATAAACAAGTCTGGTCTTTATTAGCAAAAGAAAACAAAGGACTAAAGCAAAATTAATCCCCTTTGTAACCATATAAAGTTAAGAGGCACAGCGTTAGGAGACAAACAGCAGAACAATTACATCTGAAGTCTGTAATAAGATTTACAGCATTATATTTGAAGTAGCTTAAAACCATATTTATGAATGTTTTGCATTTTATATTAATCTTATGAAAAGATATAATTTTTCCAAGGTTTCTGTATTTCAAGAGTAAAACCTGTAGAAAAAGATAACTTGCTTCCCTGCAGTCAGTTCAAACCTTTCTAAGCCTGTTGTTGCTGGGCTTTACTACTTCATTGCATTTATTTTGTGCCATGCAGCCCCTGGCTGCTTAAAAGATAAATGTCAGAAATTGTAACAGAGTCCACATTTCGTATACAGTGTTCTGTTGCTGACCTATCTCTGAAAACAGAAATGCTTCTTTTAGTGGTCTAGGACATCATAGTGGTCTTTGAATATTTGAGTAACAGGCCATGTGAGATAGAACTGGTTGCTTGCAAGAAGAAAGGGATTGTAACAAATTGTTTTTTCTTCTGAAACTCATGATAAATTCCTTGCAGCATCTTTTTTAGGCAGAAGCTTTTCTCCCCTTTGCTTCTGGAAGGCACAGAGCTCACCCCTCTTCATGGGTTCTTCCTGTGGTAAATAGGCCATGGATAAACTATCAAATGCCATTTATTGCCACAGAGTTTGAGGGATTCCCTCTGATTTTCTTACTGAAAAACTGCAATAGAATTCTATCCAGGATTGAGGATAGTAGGGCTAAAATTCCAGCTTTGATAGGATTTGGCACACTCCAACAGGGAAACTGAGTCCTCTAAAGCTCACACAGTCTAAAGCCAGCCCTAGGTCTTCACCAGGAATTATGCAAGGGCAGTGGATGTCGTCTTTCTTCAACGTCTTTGGAAGTAAATAAAATCTCCATGGGCTATTCTGAGAATGAGAGAAATTCAAATTAAATACCAACTGCATTATGTGTTTTAATACATGGGTGGGTAACAGTAAGTATTATGTAACTATTCAATTTTGGACAAAAAAGCAATGCCTTGCTATTCCCTTGTTAGGCCCTCATTCCCTGGGGTACTGAACACTCATTTTCTGTAGTAATAACTCAGCCCTTTAATTTCATCAAATGATTACATCAGATAATACATTTTATTTTGTGTAGCTTAAAACTAGTAATCCCAAGAGATTAATAAGGGTACAAAAGTAACTAGAATTAGTCAAATTTCACGAAGAGAAAATATTATCATGGTACTATTTTTATTCTTGTTGTCAATCTGTCAAAAGCCAACAAGGCAGAATTTAACCCTGAGTGGTGTAGCAACAGTTCAGGATTTCCAAACTTCCCCATTTCCAGAAATTCTGCTTTGCAATTGGGACTGTACAAAACAGAATGAAGATCAATGTCCAGTGCATTAATCATATGGTATTTGCATCTTAAAACAAGGTGCAATTAAAAATATAAAAAAAATCAGATGTAATGCATGAAAATTGTGACATGGCATTGATAAATTAATTTGAACAGGTCACTTAACATGTAGTCAATCTGCAAAGAATTTCTGATGAGGGATCTCTTGACTTCCATTTTGAGAAAAGCAATGTTGACTAATAGAGATCCAAGACAAATTTTTCTGACTTTTCACTTTATATTGTTTTCTTTTGTCTGAATAAATTTGTGTACCTATCTTTCAAGGAAGGTATTGACTCTCTGTCTTCCAGGGATCTTTAATCTTGTTCTAAACAGAAAGTTAATTGTGCTCTGTTTGATTTTACTGGGAATGCAGCCTTCAGGGTCACTTTTTGTCCACATGGAAACATGGACAATTGAAATGAAAAACTATAAAAATATGTCTATCAGGTCACCCATTCCATCTTCCTAAGCAACAACTTCTACTGTCATGTGCCCAAAGATATTGATTTTGGATAATATCTCATCTTCAAGGATAGATTCTTAGTGTGTGCAAGACTGGAATCAAAACCATAAAATAAGGATATTTGTCTACCAGTGAGGCCTGCGTTTTTAGCTGGAGTGGGTTCTGAGTGGCTAATTTATGCTAATTTAAGGATCTACATTTCTCTGGGGTGGAACATCACTGCAGGGAGCCAGGCCCTGTAGTCCAACAGTTGTAGCAATGAGTGGGCCATTATTCTACTGTAGGAGGTGGAACAGACTGTGTCACCTCTGTCTGTGATGCTGCTTTCAGGCTTTATTTGTCTTATCTGTTTAGAATGCTTTTCACTATGCTTGTACAGCCATTCCAAAAGCTACTTATTATACAAATTTATGATAACCATGGAGTTAGTTACAGACCTATCCTCCCTTTGGAAGCAAATTTCTCTTCATCTCATATTCCACTGCAGAGTGAAGATCTGGAAAGGCCCACATTGGCACTGACACATATTGTGCTTTTGACTTCAAGATAAATGAAAAGCAAACAAACATGTCTTTGTCTGACGAGTTTTGTCTTGGGCACACCCACCAATCCCTCATCAGCCAAGATAAATTGCTTCAGAGGGAGGACTTCCATGTTCACAGGAGGAATGCAGAAATTCTTTCTATTTTGTACATTCTTGGCATCTTTCCTTTGTTATCAATTTCACGTCCTCTTTGTGTTTTGAAGCTCTGCTTGGGAAAAGAGGTTATAAATATTAAAGCTCTGCACAAATTCTTAAGAATGATTTGGGATTTCTTGTTTTGTCTTAAATAATTTTTGTTTCTCCTATTTTTAGCTCAAAGCTATCCTTCCTCATCCAAGCTGTGTATTTTTAGCTCGTCCAAATAGTTGAAAATGTTGTTATTCATTAGACAGAGATTACTTTTGGCTTTCTTCTTTTCCAATTCTATTATAGTATTATCAGCACTGAGAAACACACATTTAAAGCAGATTTTGCAAATATATAGGAAAGATACATAATTTATGTTTTGAAAGTACTTTAATGAATCCCTTACCATAAACAGCAAGAGTTTTTAAGTACTGGAATGTGTGTCTTAAGTTGGACTTCATGAAGAAACATCCAAAGACTTTGTTCATAGTTGCATAGGACTTTGTAATTAAAAATTTTAATACGATCAGGCTGTGCTTGATACAGTTTCTATATCGCTGTAGACAATGAAAATATGTTTCTAGCATGACTTGAATTAGATGAGAATTTCCATTTTCCCCTCTCATAAAAATTTACTGCAGTTATTGACACCTGAAAGGTCAGGATTTCAACATTTAGCTGTGGGCACATCTATTTATTATACTGAACCTCTAGCTCTGGATCCCATTTTTTAGCTCATATCCCTTTTTACCTGGTTCTAGGGGAAAAAAAAAAGTTATCTGGAACTTTTGCACAAAAACTTCTCCACAATTCCTGTGGTTTTTTTTGCCAGGTTTGTAAATAAATAGACCCTTTTCCCTCATATGTGTGGGTAATGTACATCTCCCTCTGTCATTTCCCACAGTCACCTGAAGCTCCATAGGGGAACAGTGGGGAAGGATGGGGAATAAATAATAAAAGGAACAGTCCAAGTGCAAAGCAAAAGACAAGAGAGTACTTTCTATAATTGGGAGGTCCATAAATTACTGTAGCCCTGGGGTCAAATATTTGTGTGTGGAATTGCTGGACCATTTAAGCAGCTACTCATTAAAACCATGTAAGTACTCCAACAATTAAGCTATCATTTTACACTGATAGTGGTACCTGCTCCCAAGGAGGGAGAGCAAATGCGCATTGATAAGGATGTCCTAAGGTAGATTCCCACAAACGTAGCCCTTCTCCACACAAATATTTCCTTAAATATGCTATCAGGTAAATTTTGCACATTTTCAGCCAGGCATCTGTATCCTGATGTGGGGACCTGCTCTAACACTAATGGGAAAAAGCCTAAAAAAAATACAGACAATTTCCGTGCTGGTTGCTCCATTTTTGCATGTTTTAGCCTGTAGTGCAGCAGGAGCAGTGTGGTTTGCCTGCATGAAGGGAGCAGCAAATGTCCCTGGGGATCCTCCAGAGCCACAAAGCCATGCTCAGGGTGATAGGTGCTCCTGCACAACCTCTGCACTTCAGTCTTCCTTCCCTCTTCCAGTTTCTCAGGCACAGGGAGGAGGGAAGGATTTGCTCTGCAATGGTAGTTTGCTCATAGTTTAATTAATCCTCAGCTGTGTTCACTTTTTGGCAGCCTTCCAGTGGAGTTCAGCAGGGGTGGTGGATATCACTCATGCCTGTACCTGCCTTCTTCCTCTTCCAGAAATGGGGAATGGCTCTGCAGGCTCAGAGGCAGCAGTGCCACCCCTCAGTCCCCTCCGTGTGCCCTGGCAGAGAGGGTCCCTCAGGTGTAAGTCTGCTGCTGGGCTAACCCCTGCTTTTCTTCTAATGCAGTTTTCCCTCTTTAATTGCCTGGGGGGTTTTATGTCTTCTCTGTTTCTCCGTCTCTGTATTTAAGTTCAGTTTTTCAATTTTTCCTGTGCTTTTCCTTTCCAGTTTTCAATTGTAACTGTTATGATCAGCTGCTGCCTTGTTCTTTCTTCTGATCCTTTCACCATCCTGCTGAGGTGAGGTCTCTCATTCTTCAGCCCCACGTGATGTGAGTGGGTGAGCAGGGAAAAGATGACAGAATTAATTTGCAGGTGTCTCCCTCCTTTTGCTTTTGACATCCTGTCATTTGCCATGTCCTTATGTGTAGGGGGTTATTTGTCAGTGTTGTGCAATCCTTTTCTAGGTTAGCACTGAGCAATCTTAATTATTTCACATACAGTCTTTATATAAGGACATAGTTGTTGAGGAAAAAAGACTTTCAAATGTATTTCCTATAAAAACAGTTGAATACAATAAAATGAAAAAGGCAAGGAAGTAGTGGCATAATTTTATGGGTTGTCTGCAGCTCCTCTAAGCCATGAGAATGGAGTAGTTTGCAACAGAACAAAAATGTACAGCTTGAAAAAGTAAAGATAATAAGAAAAGTAAGATATTGCTGTGTGTTCCTTTCTAATCTTGGGAGATGACACATGAAAGGTTTGGTCTACTGTGCACACAGCTGCCTCCTGGTGCAGACAGGGCATGTCTGTTTGCAGAAGTGCAGGGTAGGTGACTTGTATGTGAACTTCTTATTTGCATCCTGATTTGTTCACAAAAACTGGCAGGATTTACTACATGTATTAGGTGCACACTTAAATATAATCATATTTATTTAATTGCTGTTTGATTTCCTTTTCAGGGTTTTGGGAAGCTTTTTATTATTTGTTGGTTTGGGGGTTTTTTTAAATTCTGTTGAGTGATCTATAAAAATTCTTTGTTCTTAATCATTGATGTTCTTCCTCACTTTGGAAGACGAATGTAAATAAAAGTCCAAAAGTGTAGGTCCTGTGAAAGTTCCTTCATCTTTGAGCACTATAGATATTATTTGCTTGGAATACTTCAGTTATGCCTAGCCTTAAGGGAAATAATCTTTCTCTTTAAGGAGTTTCTTTTCATTATTTTAAACATTTCTGAGAATAACAAGTGAAATTAGGTGAACACAGTACACATTTGGGGAAAGGAAGGAAGAATAAGATTTAAATAACATGAGCACCAATATTCCTTTTTATCGGCTTCATGCTATGTATTCTTCTGTGATTATGAAGAGCAGGTATTGCTAACAAGTCATTAGAAGGAGACCCCATTTTCTTTAACTGTGGCCTTCAATGCATTAAGTTTTTAGCAAAATAAATGTGTGCACATCTGTGATGTAATAGCTAAAGGAAATAACAGCTGGAAGTAACTTTGTAGTTCTTCAGTGCTCACTCTGAATGATAGCTGTTTTTTATGTTCAATATTGCAGTTCATATCTGGCAGGGAAATAAGAACCCAAAATGAATTATAAAAACCAGAAATATTTGTCTTTTTTTTTAAGCTTTCAGGCTCTGTGCTGAAACTCTTGCTGTAAATTATGAATAACATCTAGAATTTAATATGGTTGCAGGCCACATTTCAAGACTAAATGGATTGATGATAATTTATTCTTCATAAATTACATAAATGTTCAGATTCCTTTCACTGGTTGCATGTTGTTGGTGACTTTAGTGGGAATTATTGGTACTGTGATTCTTTGGAAACCAGGGCAAAGACAATGTTGTGAAATGCTTTTTGTGGGGTGGTTTGCATACAGATGTGCAAAATTCAGTTCTGACACAACCAGAAATCTCCAGGAAACTCCAGCCTCTCCCAGTGTTTTTGTGGGAAGATGGTCTCTTTTCTACAAATCTACTTCCAAGCATCCCAGATTGTTTAAATTGTATTTCACATCATATGAGGCTTTTACAACAAAGCTGACATCCTTCCTGTGAAATTGGAAAAGTCTTAACACATTTGTGCTGGTGCTTGCTTTGCTTTTTAAACTAACTGTCTGATAAATCACCCTTTTAATATTAACCCAAAGATGGGCCAAGCAAAGCTGAACAAGCTGAGTTTGCTTTGAGATGGGGCAGAGCATTTGAGCAGCTGGGTGACAGAGTGAATGCTTAAGCCAACCTGTCTAATAAGGGTGTCTGTCACAGTTCTCCCTGTCACAGAAGGCTCTTTTACATGCTCTATTTATAATGTTGTGTTGCCATTTTATTGTGCCTTTAACAGCTATGCAAGAGTGATTAAAAACAGTCCCTAAGTTTCCTGTGTCACTTTTCACTCATCATCACTGCTCTGAATGGTAACAGTTTAAACCTTTCCATGCCCCTTAGCTAATGCCTGTTAAGAACATAACATTGGCCTCTTTCTTTTTATTGCAAACTTCATGAATCCGTATTATTAATTTTTCATTGTCAAGCTTATGGGAGTGATCCGAGTCTGGAAATTTAAATAACAATTAATCTTCCTTGTTTTCTGGTCTTTGAATTGGTCTGTGCAAAACTCTACTTGACACAGCATTACTCTAGAATTAGTTTCAGTGCCTTTGCCTAGCAACACAAATACGTTTTACACTTTCCAGGTTTCTCCTGTTAACTTCTCAAGCTGATTGTTGTCGCCGGCACATCTTTGTTTGCTGTTTATTTGTTACGAGGTGTCTGGATAGGCTCCCAGCTCAGTCCCACCAGGCCGGGGCTGTGCTGGCTCGCTGTCCCAGGCTCGGAGCAGGGCCCG